CAGGGTAGAACTGCCTCTGTGGGTTTCTGAAATTGTAAATCTTTCCAGGAACAGAAAGTCTTATTTTTGTCCCACAGAGCAGCAGGTAGGTTTGAACTGTCAACCTTGTGGCTAGCAGCTCAACACATAACCACTATGCCACCAGAGCTCCAAAAGAGATGGGATAAAATAGATGCTAAGACACATGGAGTTGTCCTAGGAACCAGAAAAAAGAAGTTGGGGAGACAAAAACTTTTCTCCTTCTGAGCTCAGACTTCTATCCCAGTAAACTGTGAGAAAATAAATTTCTGTTTGCTAAAGCCACCCCACTTTGGTATTTCTGTTATGGTAGCACTAGATCACTAAGATACTGGGTAAGGAAAACCAAACCCAAACAAAATTAACTTACTGCCATCGAGTTGATGCAGGCTCATAGCCACCGATAGGACAGTGTAGAACTGTCCCTGTCAATTTCCAATACTGGAACTCTTTAGAGGAGTAGAAAGTCCTGTCTTTCTCCTGAGGAGTGGCTGGTGGTGTCAAACTACTGACCTTGCAATTAGCAACCCAGCCTGTACCCACAGTCCTACCAGGGCTTCTTGAGACTAGTGAAATGAACACCTTCATGAGGCTGCTTGGAATGTAAATGGGCCACACGATTCTGGAGAGCAAATTTAGTCAGGTGTATTAGGAGTTTTGAAAGTTTTCACTCTTTGATTTAGTAATTGTCTTCTAGGACTCTAAGGAAATAACCTAAAATACAAGGAGAAAGGTGATTTCTACATAAAAATGTCTACCACAAGGATTTATTTTTATTTTTTTACAAATCATTGTATTGGAGGCTCATACAGCTCTTATAACAATCCATACATCAGTTGTGTCAAGCACATTTGTACATATGTTGCCATCATCATTTTCAAAACATTTTCTTTCACCTTGAGTCCTTGGTGTCAGCTCCTCTTCTTTCTCTCTCTCCCCACTCCCTCTTTCCACCCTTCTAAACTCCCGACAAACCATAATCACTATTGTTTTCATATCTTACACCATCCACTGCCTCCCTTCACCCACGTTTTTGCTATTTGTCCCCCAGAAGGGTGGGGTGGGGGGTGTTATACATTGATCTTAGCCATTGGTTCCCCCTTTCTCCTCCTTTCCCCTACCCTCATGGTATTGATACTCCTATTACTGATCCTGGGGGTTTGTCTGTCCTGGATTCTGTGTGTTGAGAGCTCTTATCTGTAGCAGTGTACATGCTCCGGTCTAGCCGGGTTTGTAAGGTAGAACTGGGGTCATGATAGTAGGAGGGAGGAAGCATTAAAGAACTAGAGGAAAGTTGTATGTTTCATCAGTGCTATACTGCACCCTGGCTGGCTCATCCCTCTCTTATGACCCTTCTGTGAGGGGATATCCAATTGTCTACAGATGGACTTTGGGTCTCCACTCCGACCCCACTGATTTGCATCAATATGATTATTTTGGGTCTTCTGATGCCTAATACTCGATTCTGTCAATGCCTCATGATCACACAGGCTGGTGTGCTTCTTCCATGTGGGCCATGTTGCTTCCCTGCTAGGTTCTGGATCCCAGTGGTGGAGACTTGCACCCTCCCCTCTACCCTGCTCTTAACCAGTGGACCTTTCTCATAGTTAGGCCTCAGCCACCTCTCTTTGATGTGGGCTCCTTACCAGATACCACTCCCCTGAGCCCCAAGGTGAGAGCCCTCCTTGGAAGACCCTCACACCTTCCATCCTCGGTGGGTCACCATGGCTCTCACCAGTGGCAACACCCAACACAAGAACTGACTGGCCTTCCCTGGCCCTGAGGGCAACAGGGAGAGTGAGACCCCACAGACTACCTCCTTCTCCTCTTCACTCCAAGTCTCCACAAGATACTGTGTGCCCATTTCCTGAGTCAGCACTGCCCCAGCTACCCTCCTCTTCTGTGGAGGCCAGTCAGCTTGGATTGGAACCCAGGTTTCCACTAAAACGCCTCACCTACAGGCTGGGGAGCAGCCCACTAAAAAGAACATTTCCATTTTCACAAGGGAGTTTTGAATTACCGGAATTCTCAATGACCATTACATTTTCATGAGGAAGCCTTACAATGCACAGCGGGCATGTGAAGCAGCTAGTGGGGCCATCGAGGCAAAGACATGACAAGAAGGCTGGCAAGCATTTAGCACAAATGCTGCCAAGAGCAAGCCCTCCGTGTGGAATTCGCCCTTTGAACACACCAACACAAGCTGGGCTGTGAGCTGAGCACTGGAACAGAGAGTTTGCCACGGTCCCCACGGTTGTCACTCACTTACTCTGTCCTCAACTCTCCTGCAGTGCTGAGCATCTGCAGAGGGAGGGAAACGGAATGATCCAAGGATTATCCCAGATGAGGCTGAGGCTCAAAGAAGGAAAGTAATAAGTCACAGTCGATGTGGACTGTAGGGCCTGGGCACCCTCCCCTCTAACACCCCAAGGCTGCCGTTTTAAAAGAAACATTGTGTTATTTTTTTTTCTGAAATCTTGTGCAAGAAGTGTGTCCAGTGCTTAAATTAGAAAAATTCCCTTG